ACAAACAAGTTGCAAGCGTATTTGGCTCAGAACTAGCTGCAATTTTGCTCAAAGCGGCTGGCCATGTCATCGTGGACCCCAAGCTCATGGAGATCTTTGCCGAAGCACCAAATGGCCGAGTGGGAGGACAAAGTGGCGGCAGAGAAGGTTTTGACCAAGCTTGGATGCTCGTTGTAGTATAGTGCTTAGCTTTGTTCGATGCGTGATTGAAACCTACCACTGGATAGCAGCCTGTATTCCATGTATACATGTGTATATATATATATATGTGTGTTATATAAATATATATATATATAAATATGTGGGTTTACCAGTTACAACAAGAGTCCTTTACAGTGTTTCTCTAGCATGTGATATTTACCTACGGGGGCTCAAACCATTTGGTCTGGGGGGGTGCGTGGGTGGGTGGGCTGGTGGGCGGTGAGTTGGTGGATTTGGGGTTGGGTGTTGGAGGGGTGAGGCGTGGGTGGTTGTGGTGGGAACCAAACGGGCTGGAAATACGACAGCAACATAGGACTCTCAACGATACTGTCTTGATATATATACATATATTTATATATATATATATTTACTATACATACACACACATATATTGTCGAAGGAAGTTTAGAAGTCAAACTTCCGACAATATGGACAGATGAAAAGCAGAGCAGGGAAGAGGCAGAGAGAAGAGAAAGATTAGAAGAAAGAAGAGTAGAAGAGAAAGAGTAAGAAGAAAGAAGATGCAGATGCGCGAAAAGGTAGGAAAGTCGCGAAACACTGTGTTTTTCCAATGATTTGGGGCTCCGGAGGGTCGAAAAGTAGGCTCGCTAAAGCGGCGGGTGCGGAGCCAGCTGGCCAGATGAGAGATGAAAAATTGCACGCCGTTGTGGCGCGAAGCACATTTGCAAGTCAAGATGCACAAAGCACACCAGGTGCGGACCACTTTTGGCAGTTGAGATGTCGAAGAAGTGCACGCCGTTGTGGCGCGAAGCACATTTAGAAGTCAAAATGTACAAAACACACCACGTTCGGACCACTTTTCGAAGTTGAGATGTCGAAAAAGTGCACGCCGTTTTGGCGCGAAGCACATGTCGAAGTCAAAATGTTAAAAAAACTACATGTTCGCGCCACTTTTGGAGGTTCAGATGTCGAAAAAATGCACGCCGTTGTGGGGCGAAGCACATTTCGAAGTCAAAATGGTCAAAAAAACACATGTTCGAACCACTTTTGGAAGTTCAGATGTCGCTTCCCTTCACTACACTACACTACACTACATTACACTACACCACACTCCACTACACTACATTCCACTACACTACACTCCACAACACTACAACTACACAACTACACTCCACTACACTCCACTACACTCCACTACATTAAATTACACTACACTACACTACATTGCACTACACTACACTCCACTACACTACACTACATTACACTACACTACACTCCACTACACTACATTAAACTACACTACATTCCACAACACTACAGCTACAACTACAACTACACAACTACACTCCACTACACTAAATTACACTACACTAGACTACATTACACTACACTACCTTCCACTACACTTCACTACATTACACCACACTACACTCCACAACACTACAACTACAACTACAACTGCACAACTACACTCCGCTACACTCCACTACACTAAATTGCACTACACTACATTACACTACACTACACTCCACTACACTATACTACACTACGTTGCACTACACTACACTACACTACCTTCCACTACACTTCACTACATTACACTACACTCCACTACACTACAACTACAACTACGACTACACAACTACACTCCACTACACTCCACTACACTAAATTACACTACACACACTTCATTACACTACACTACACTACATTCCACTACACTCCACTACACTACATTACACTACACTACATTGCACTGAGTGACACTGCACCACAGCTAGACAGGCAGACAGATAGACAGATAGATAGATAGATAGATAGATAGGTAGACAGATAGACAGCTAGACAGATAGACAGATAGACAGATGAAGAGAGAGAGAGAGATGGATAGATAGATAGATAGATAGATAGGTAGATAGATAGATAAACAGGTAGACAGATAGATAGATAGATAGAAAGATAGATAGATAGATATAGATAGATAGATAGGTAATTAGATGAAAGAGATAGGAGAGAGAGATAGATAGATCGATAGATAGATAGATACTTTGAAGATAGGCTGGTAGGTAAGTAGGTGGTCAGAGAAAGAGAGAGACAGAGAGGAGACCTCAAGCACCTTTCGGTCCATCAGTGGATTCGCTCTGCCATCCCTGATTCACAACAACCAATCTCTCCTATAGGTTTTCTATTTTTGAAACTTCCGCCACCGCCTTGTGCGGCACTACTGGTATATATTTAATATATACACATACAAATATGATAAATAGATTGGATTAGGTTAGATTAGATTCGATTGGATTGGATTATATTAGACTAGATTGGATTGGATTGGCTTGGATTGGATTGGCTTGGGTTGGTTTAGATTGGATTCGATTTGCTAGATAGATGGATAAATAGATAGATGGATAGATAGATGGATAGATGGACAGATGGATAGATGGACAGATGGACAGATGGACAGATGGATAGATGGATAGATGGATATATAGATGTATAGATGGATATATATAGATGGATGGATGGTTGGATGGATAGATGGATAGATGGATAGACAGACAGAAAGACAGACAGACAGATAGATCCGCACGTGTGTTTGTGTGTGTGTGTGTGGGGTCACGTCGAAGTAGTTGATACCTTCCGAACATGTTTCATAGTAGCAGGGGGGCTGGTTGTCCATGCAAATACCAGCCCAACGAAGAGGCTTGCATGCGACACTGACATCACTGGAGACGTCCAGTGACGTACCTGCCATTCTTTTCCTTTTTTGGCTTTGATCTGTCGGTATGGCAAGGGGCTAAGCCGAGAACTGTCATTTTACAATACAGTTTTTGGATCAGTGACTCAGTCACACAGCGCAAAGCCTTTCTTTCAAGTGTGTATTCGGCCGAGATTCTGTCATGGTCCGGGTGTGATCCGGTGATTCCACGCTACAGTGATTTCTTGTCAGTAACAAGCTTGATTTTCTCACATGATTGAGTCTACAAAGACGCCCCAACGGATTTTTTTGAGTTAACTTTATCTGATCAAACGATGTGATTCTGATTATCAATTGATTGCCTCTGATTTGGGGATCTCGATCCCATGATTGCCTAAAGACTGATGGCCTCTGATTTGGGATTTCGATCCCATGAGTGCCCCAACAACAACTTCGGAGCTGGCTCCATGATTACTAGGAAGTGGGAGTCAAAAGATGGTCCAGAAAGAAAAAAATAAGAAAACATGGAGATGCTTTGCTTTGTTTTATTTTATTTTGTTTTGTTGACCATTGTCATTGGACAACCTCGATTACACCATGTACAGATCAATGTCGTAGTCGGTTCGGCTCAACCGATCCATGTGTGTTTTCACGGTCAATTTGATGTTTGATGGTTTTTCATTGTTTTGCTGATTTATTGATTTTATGTTCAATACTCTGTACAGCTGCATGACTGGTATCCGTCATCGCTACGTGTTGTTTTAGCTCTTGTCCTGCAGTGAGCCATGACCTACAACATTTATATATTTCATCGCGGGTGACTATGCAAGGTTAAGGTCCCAGCCTAAGCCACCTTCGGGGGGCCCACGGCCGGACCTACGTCATTGGTGATTCATCCCCCGATAGCAGGACCAGCTAGACCACTTCGACCAGTACAGAATGCTGTTCCCAATAACAATATCCATGTTCCCCCACCGAGACCTCGATCGGCTTCGGTGATTTCGGATAATGCTGCTCCCAATCTGCATGTTCCCCCGCCGAGACCTCGTTCGGCTTCGGTGATTTCTGATAGTGCTGGCCAGTTATTCACTCGAGACAAATAGTCAGACACCACGACGTCATCGGCAGGCTATAGGTCTCGAGAACGTCGCCGTCGCGACCACGGAAAGCAAGAGTGACTTTCGTTCCAGGAGCCCAGGGATTCGTAGTCAGGTCAGTTCAAAACTGTCCAACATGTCCACCACCTCCAGTTCTCCCTCCTCCTCCTCCTCCTCTTCGGCCACCAGTGACAGACAGATTTAATGCATTTCCTGACACCGTGTTCAATCGGAAGAAGCAAGACATTCTTGATCATTTGTGTAGCCAAGACTATTCAGACAAGTGTAGTTCTGAGGCATTCTTGGAGTAATTATACTTAGCCACCCTGTTGACAAGAGCGGATCTTCGCAGTACTGATCTAGGATCTCTTAGACAAGTTGGCTATGACCCGTCATATTACGGTCAACCTGACCAAGACAAGATCCGATTTTATATTTTACCGATCCCAACCAACTTTGAAGTCTCGCGCAGGACATGGTGACGATATTCCACCACAAGTCCGCAGGGCAGCTCTGGATCGATCAATCACAGAGATCGCTCATGTAGCTTTTGTACATGCTACAGCTAGATCTAATTTTTGTTCAGATCGTAAAAGAGAGCAAACTTGCGGCATCAAAACTTCACCATTCTGATTCTGAATCATTCTTCGCCCAAGCATATATGTTGTCATATACTGAGTATGACAACGAGGAGACAGCCCGTATTGCACATATGGCGTGGGATCTCGCCAAGAATGAAGCCCGTGTACTGTACTGCTGCTTGGACTAGCATGGGGCACAGCGGAGATCGTCCACCAGGGAGGAGAGGGACGATGCATCGAGCTCACAAAAGGCCCTCAAGGGGACTGTGTCCATCATAAGAACGGACGCATGTGGGTCATAGCCACCCGCTCTTATTTTTGAAAGCAGTTGTGTGGCGATCTGATGTTCAACAACCTACTTCGCTGTTTGGATGATTTACCCTCTTCCTCTCTACCTCGTTTGGTTTTCTTTGTTGGTTGTTGAAGTAGCCTGTTTTCAACTTTGGTCGAGCTCCGCTCAGCACTAATTCATCTGCTGCGACTGTGAAACAGTTGTCTGGACCTTCGATCCACTTTCCCGAGAAAAAATGAGAGACCTTTGTTGCGTTCATGACATGGCCATGTAGTTGTGCATGTGTGCCGTGTCTATTGCCTTGGATTCGATGTCGATCTCCAATTTTGTACTGTTTAGTTGCGCTGCTTTCAATAATTGTGAATTTGATGCTTGTGCCGCCTAATTGTTGTTCGCTGTGATTTTCACTTTTTCAATCAGTGCCTAAAGGGCAATATGTTGAATTAAATCAGATATTTGATTGAACGCCATAATGGCTCAGACTCAGACCATCGTCACTTCGATCTTTTCGACCGATCTTCCCTCACCTATGGCTCGATCTTGGTCCCGCCATCATTGGAACAATTGGGAGGATAATTCATACTCCCAATGGCAATCCCATTCTCAAGCTCCTCCTTCGATCTCGCCTTCGTTTGCTCCTGATATCCCAACCCACTGGAAAGAGACCGCTGTACACCATGATGAAACTTGTTTGCACGGATATCCACTGTTCAAAACTTCAAAACCATTCAACCGACGGCTTGGTCTCGAAAACGAGGCCTTCATGGTATGGATCCCATGCAAGCACCGTTGGCAGCATTGTGCAGGTACCATTCCCATTACGACCATTTTCAGCCGGTCGATTTCTGGGAGTTGTTCCCACACGCACAGTCGCAGAGTCAGTTCTCTGCAGTCAATTTTTGAAGGCTGTGCGAGAACAAGCCGTTGACATTGATGGCATGGCGGAACATTTACACCGCACACAAGTTCCATCACGTTCAAGTCCGTCTTACTAAGGTAGATACACCCATTGAGTTGATGCAACCTGTAGTTACGGAACTGATCAATCGACTGAAGGGTATCCAACCACAACAAGCAGATATACTTGTAGATTACAAAGTGTTCAAGCTGAATTCATTGGCCCACGCCAAGCAACAGTTGGCTGAAGCTGGCATAAGCCCGAATCAGCTCGTGCTCAGGCTGCCAGAATTAACACCCCCAACAACCAAACCGCTGGGGCGAAATCCGGGGACGAAACGTCCACCAACATCCAAAGCGTCACAGTTGGGGGCTTCGCCAAAGAAACGTTCTCGTGGTTCTGTTGTTGCTTCTCAAGCTGTTGCTTCCAAATCAAATGCGACATGGAACACTTTTTGGAACTCCGCTTCACCGGCCGAAAAAAGTGCTTCGTACAAGGGTGACACAGCAGGTGAGGATATTCCACCTGGCCAGAAGGACCCCCAAGACATTGATGACGAGGTCAAACCTGAAGTCATCACGGCGTCAGAAATCCTTGATGCCTCAGCCGAGATTTTACAGCATTATCCGCTAGGAGGCACAGCCGACACCAGAGTCAAGCGCTGGTTTTCGAGTTTCCCTGCTGAAACAACACAATTGGCCACTAAGTTTGCTTCTGTTTTAAACGATGCTAATATTCCGAAACCGAAAGTGCAGGAAGCAACCGTTAAATATGGCCTGCCCATTGAGTTAGCTTTCAAGTTACCTCCTCGCTGCCTGAACCAAATTGTGTCAGTTGCAGCAGCATTAACAGCTTGACTAGCCATGGATCATACGAACTGGCTGCGGGTCGATTTTTTCAAGTTTGCATCGATTCGGCGCCAATTTTTCAAGAGTACATCCATGAACTCCAGAATGTTCCAAAGACGGTGGCAATGTGGGCTTTGAGCTTGTTGCAGGTTGTGTTGCTTTGTCATGAATCAGCCCCCACCCTGGATTCACGCAAGTGGCGCAACAGACTGCAATTTTTGAAAATTAAGCCATCAATGTACAGCTACCCGTTTTTTCAGAGTCAGTGTGCCGTGTATTTTAATTTGCTTTTCCATGCCCCTGGCTTCCCTCATTTTGGGTGCACTCAGCATGGCCATTTTTATGTTGGATCCACCGCGGTGTCTGTCGCAAAAAGAGATTTCAATCGACAGGCCAAATTCAAACAACTCCATAATGGGCAGGCAGTTCATGTGGAACTTTGAATTCGGTATAGGGGCTCCAGTGGAAATTTTCATATTTGTAATACCATCGTTCTGGAAGCTCATACCACATATGACCATGCCTGGGTTCGAGAACATTGCCTAATTAGCTATTGGCAACCAGCTCTGAACCACCCGTTCATCCTTAAGCATTTAAAGTTAAAGTCAGAAGGATGGAAGTTCCAGTTTAAATCCAACCGTATCACTCCGGTCAAACTGGGCCCACGATTATTTCAACGGCTGAGACGACGTTTGAAGACCGTAGGATCTGTACCCAGTCAACATTCTCATCAGCAGAATGCCTGGCAACTTTTGTACAGTCTCAGTCTCTTTACGCATGCGAGTGATGAGACTTGCCAGCGCATAAGATCCGGTGAATTCGACACTCTTGAGGTGTATGCATTGTATCGATTAGCTGCACATGTGGAAGAACCCGGCAGATCCCGTGCCCGCAGTTTAATCTCAAAAGTCAAAAGGTTTGCATTTTCGAAACGCAACTGTACCTAAGAAGAACCTACCCGTTTCCCTTCCTTTTCTGGCGAATTCTGATTTTAAACAGCAGGTTCAGTTATGGCTCAGACAGGTAGAGATTCGATCGAAGGAATTGGCTATTCCATTTTTTTCCACCTACTCATCGAATTCGTGAAGCTGCTCATCCTACCCTTCGATAATTTTTGCGCAATCACCGCAAAGTGGAACGTCGGTGGATGACATCAAAATATTGATTCATTGCCATGTTGTTGCGAAGAGCTTCACAAAATGATGACCTGCTCAACCTCTGGGTTACAACATTTAGCAGTGAATTTAGAAGATCAGAGACCCCTGGCCAAAATCAAACTGGTTCAAAATGTCAATGCGAACTCTACATATTTCGCAGCCAAGCCACCATATTTTGAATGGACTATTGGCGCGTTCCGGAGGTGGTTGAAACACCATGGCCTCCGAGCAGAACTAGCTGAAGCTTTTTCTCAAGTTTTGTCTAATGGAAACAACCTCTTGATAAACTCGAATCGACCCCGCGATTGTCTTTTCATCGTGTTCAACATTTTCTTCGCGTTCTCCCTCGGGATTCGGTGCTTCACCACGGTGATCATGAACAATTTCACATCACCATTTTTTATCCCATGTTGTACTTTCAAGATGTGCTGAACACGTGGTCTGACATAGACTTGTTTGAAAGACTCCATTACACTGGCCAACAAGCTCAAGTTGCTATCACTTCGGCGTTTCCGCCCTATTTGCTGAAGCGGTATCCATGGGGTTTTCGTAAGCAAGCTGCTTTACCCGTTTCGTTTTTCTGAAACGCAAAAAAAAGTGGACCAAAGGTCGCACATTGATCAGCCAATCTGCTCAAAGCTGTCAGCAGGGCGTTGGATTCCATGCTGCAGCAGATGTGGCCACAGATCATGAGACAATTGAACACTCCGGCCATCTGGGCTCGACTACGTCGATATGTTGAGGATGTTCCCACTGATCTTACCTTGGCTTTTGTAAATTATGACCTAGTGTTTTTTCAATTCTGTTCCTCAAGAAAGATTATTGGATGCCGTCAATCAATTGGTTGACGCATGGACTGCTGAAAATTTACTTCATTTTCCTGAACTTCAGTCAGTCACTCTCACTGTGGATATCAGTGCAAAAGGTGACCCGACTCAATCGACGTTTTCAGGATCGTATCGAAAATCTGCCTACAGGACATTTTACCAGTAGTTCGGTCCAGACTCTCTTCTCATATCTTCTCTGCCCTTGTATGTTTTTGGAATCAAATTCGTGGTGCAGGCATTGGTAGTCAAATTTCTCCGTCGCTTTCGAATCTTGCTGCAGCTATTGTGGAACGTACATGGCAGCAGATCTATCTGGAAACCCTCAATCAACCTCGCTTTGCATTTTTTGGTATTCGATACGTCGACAACAGGTTTAGTATTGCCACTGAAGAAGCAAAGCTTCACCCTGGATTTCTCGCGCTGTGTGACTTGGATTTTTACGGTCACCCAGTTGAACTTGAGGTCGTTGATGATGACTTACTTTGGGGTTTTTCTGTTGATGTGCATCAAAGAACTGTTCAATATAGACAATCTGACTTGCGCAAATTCGCGATTGTGTATCAGCGGGATCGGTCCGTCTCAGAATGAGTGGACTAAAAAGCCGGGCCCATCTAATTCGAAAATACACCCACCCACCGGATCTGATTTCTGCAAGTCTTTTTACGCTAGCTAATCTTTATGTACAGAAAGGTTTTGCTCAACAAGACGTGTTCTCCGCTCTCCGTGCTTAGAATATATGTATATACAGCATTTACGGAACCGTTGCTTTGGCGACAAAATGGCCTTCGTGTGTGGGGTCACACCCTGTTTCTAAGGGTTAGTCGAAGTAGTTGATACCTTCCGAACATGTTTCATAGTAGCAGGGGGGCTGGTTGTCCATGCAAATACCAGCCCAACGAAGAGGCTTGCATGCGACACTGACATCACTGGAGACGTCCAGTGACGTACCTGCCATTCTTTTTCTTTTTTGGCTTTGATCTGTCGGTATGTCATTTTACAATTCGGTTTTGGAATCAGTGACTCAGTCACACGGCGCAAGGCCTTTCGGGGATTTCATGTCCAGATGTCATAGAGTTGACAAGAAAGACAAACATGCTCGATGGACCAATGAGGACTCCATACGACATACGGCCTTTCAAAAATCACAAATCAATATGAGCCTCGTGAACAGACATTCTGTCTTACAAGTGTGTGAGCAGGTATGCATATGTAAAATACCCTAGGGTGTGAACCTTGTGTGTTGAATGCGTGTGTGAAGCTATCTCCATGCAAAACCACGATGGTGAAGAGGGTTGCTTTTCCAAATCTTTTCCAGCACATCCCAAATGTCCAGCAGGTGGAGAACACCAAAACTTACGCTTTCAAAGATGACTACATCAACAAGAAAAGGCGTTCACAGATCGTGAATAAGAATTGATGGTGGTTAGTAACCCATTGACAAAGCCTCCTGGTTGCGGGGTACGTAGCTTAGGATTCAGATGGTTGCCCGGGAAAATTCTAGTTTTCTTGCCCTACTGGGCCAGTACCTTGTTAGCTTATTCTCCTAGGCAAACTTCCACCTTTGGTGCAGCCAAACGAGTGTGATAGACTCAAGCGGCTGCTGGCAGAGTGTGGCCGTGGCGAGCGCTTCATCGTGCAAGGCGGTGACTGCGCAGAACGCTTTATGGATTGCGAGGCTGGCTGCAGTGCTTGCAGTGTTGAAACCAAACTGTTTTTTTTCTCTCCGGGAGCTCCTGGTCTCCTTTCACCTGCCAGAACAACAATTTTTTGTTGTCTCATTCAGAGTGACTGAATCATTTGCACCGGCTGAGAGATGTTGAAAGGCAGGCCGTCTGGGACAGCAACTCAAGCTGATACTGCAGATGGGCATGGCTCCCCGGCTCATGCATCTAGAGCTAAGATAAGGGTAGGCTTGTGGGGTCTTCCCTCTTCGATCGTGACGGGTTGAGCAAAGATGTTCCTAGGTGATATCTTATAGGCACTTTCCAGTCTGGCAGAGAACCTTTTGAAACTGCTACTCCTAGCTAGAGTCAAAGGTGACTAGACAAAAGGGGCCGAAGACGATCCAACACGATCCAAGAGGATCGAAGAGGATCAAAGTGAGGCAAGACCCCGCAAGACACACCACAAACCAGAAGCTAAGGTGATCGAGCACATCAGCGGAAAGAAAGCCCTGAAGGTTTGTCGCATTGCGGGCCAGTATGGAAAACCGCGGTCAAAGCCAACCGAGATCGGCGAAGATGGGAAAGAGATCATGAGTTTCAAGGTACGATCCATGGCATGGGGGCAGAAGACGTCAGGTGTTTTGCTAGTGCAGTATACTGGCACCGGGTGCTATCCAATACACTATGCACGGTTGGTGCGCGACAAAGATGACCAAGTGATGATCACCTGACAATCAAGTGATCATTCTAGCCTCCTGGGGGCTAGCATGTGTGCACGATCCATGACCATGGTTGTGTGCAACAGATGCCAAGCACACAGAAAATGTGGCAGGTGGATCCAGTTGGCTCATTGCCAGAAACAAAAACCCATTTGCTAAAGCAGGCTTAAAACGTGAAACAGGCATTGCATAGGAGGAACAATGCCATTGTTGCAAGGGGTAGGCCGACAAATACATCCATGTATTCAGGTTCGAAATTCAAAAAGAAAGATTTCAAGGAAGGTTCGGAATGGATCTTATTGGCGTGAGCGATCCCGATGTCCTGGCCGATGTTATTTTGCGTCTTGATTCCAACATGGTCCAAACCGACGAGCATGCTCTGTGCTGTTTTGGTGTTAGAACTTCTCATGGATTTATTTTTCAGAGAGTCCCCCAGCGGAAGGCTAAAATCATAGAGTCTGATGCAGCTTTGGAAGGTTCATTTATGATGAACATTGTGCAGCATTGTCAGCATTTGTATTGAAAACTGCACCTGCGCCAGGGCGACAATATCAATGGGTTTGACACTAAAGATCGAAAATGGGACCCAGAGCGACTCCTCTTGGGCTATTGGCACTCCGCAGCGACGCTGAATTTCTTGCGTTCCTACGCCGGCAGCGGAGACCACTCTCCGTTGCAAAGCATCGAGGTATCAGATCTAAAATCATCAGAACACTATGGCACTTATTCAGAGGATGCCCAGGCGATTTTGGGCAAACCCTTGACATCAGAGTCGCTGGAAGCCTGGTGGCTACGTTGTAGTCTCATGTGCCGTCTCTTTTTTTCAATGATGTAAGGGAATGTAATGTAACACTCCCTTCAAAGCTGTGAGTCAGCATCAGTGTGCCAGCCAATGAAAACACCATGGATTTAGCAAAAAACTTCATAATCTGCATACTTCATAAACAATTGGGGAGATTATTTAAGGGCTGCCGCCCCTGCCGCCGACCCCGGAAGAATTGGCAAGCCGTCAGAACGTATATATGGTACAGGCCTGCACCCCCCCCAAAAAAAATGGGGAAAGGATGTTTCTGGGACAGTTTGACACGCATTGTTGCCTGTTATGGTTTTTATGTTAAAGGGGAACGTGCGTTCCTTGGTGTTGATGTTTTTTGTGATGTATGTTGTAAGACATTTTGGGTAAAAACGTTCCATCCTAACCTCGTTGATTATTTTAGGGGAGTATCATTGATTGGGTCAGGATTTGTTGAGGTTGTTAGGGTTTTAAAGTTTTCATTTATTCAACTAAGATTTGAAAAGAAGGGAATGTATCATTAAGATTGTCTATTATTTTTTGATGACTTAACGGTTCTTTCACTTCTTCATTGTTTGATTGTTTTTGTGTTTTTCCATTATCTTTTTGTTTTTGACCGGAATTGTTGGTTTGTGCTCATGGTTTTTTCTTTCCATTTCTTTTTAGGATGGTGTGTCTGACCACCCTTGCGTGAGTCGTAGGCTTCGCAAGGAAAAAGGCACATCGTAATAATTGGGTTTGTGAAATGGAAAGAAAAAAACATGGGCCCAAGCCAGTAGCATCAGCAGCATCATTAGCTTCAGCATCAGAATATATATATATATATATTGTTATCACTGTTACAATTAAATTATTATCAGTATTTAGTAGATGAATTTGGTGAAAACATGGGGGGTTTTGATCTTGTGATCGTCCTGGTGGTAGCTACAGGCAAAAAGAATTTAAGGTACTGTATCACATCATCCTATTTCCTGCTGCTGCAACTGGTGCTGCAGGCCTCCAAAACGTACCCTTCGCCACACCGAAACACCATGGCCCTGAAGGACGAACTAGTCCAAGAAGCGCACCCAAAAAGTGTCTAACGTTGCTTCTGAAACCCTAGAAACAGAACAGAAAATCGGCACTCAGACACGGCCAAACGGTGCTGCTGCTGCTGCTGTTGCTGCTGCTGCTACTGCTGCTGCTGCTGCTAGTGCTGCTAGTCCTGCTGCTGCAACTGGTGCTAGGGCCCTGAAGCACGAACTAATCCGAGAAGCCTACCAAAAAAGTGTCTAACGTTGCTTCTGAAACCGTAGAAACAGAACAGAAAATCGGCGCTCAGACACGGCTAAACGGTGCTGCTGCTGCTGCTGCTGCTGCTGCTGGTGCTGCTAGTCCTGTTGCTGCAACTGCTGCAGGCCTCCAAAACGCACCCTTCGCCACACCGAAACACCATGGCCCGGAAGGACGAACTAGTCCGCGAAGTCCACCAAAAAAGTGTCTAACGTTGCTTCTGGAACCGTAGAAACAGAACAGAAAGTCGGCGCTCAGACACGGCCAAATGGTGCTGCTGCTGCTGCTGCTGCTAGTGCTGCTAGTCCTGCTGCTGCAACTGGTGCTGCAAGCCGCCAAAACGTACCCTTCGCCACACCGAAACACCATGGCCCTGAAGGACGAACTAGTCCGAGAAGCGCACCCAAAAAGTGTCTAACGTTGCGTCTGAAACACTAGAAACAGAACAGAAAATCGGTGTTCAGACACGGCCAAACGATGCTGCTGCTGCTGTTGCTGGTGGTGCTAGTCCTGCTGCTGCAACTGGTACTGCAAGCCTCCAAAACGTACCCTTCGCCACACCGAAACACCATGGCCCTGAAGGACGAACTAGTCCGAGAAGCGCACCCAAAAAAGTGTCTAACGTTGCTTCTGAAACCCTAGAAACAGAACAGAAAATCGGCACTCAGACACGGCCAAACGGTGCTGCTGCTGCTGCTACTGCTGCTGCTGCTGGTGCTGCTAGTCCTGCTGCTGCAACTGGTGCTGCAGGCCTCCAAAACGTACCCTTCGCCACACCAAAACACCATGGCCCTGAAGGACGAACTAGTCCGAGAAGCGCACCCAAAAAGTGTCTAACGTTGCTTCTGAAACCCTAGAAACAGAACAGAAAATCGGCACTCAGATACGGCCAAACGGTGCTGCTGCTGCTGCTGCTATTGCTGCTGCTGCTACTGCTGCTGCTGCTGCTGTGCTGCTAGTCCTGCTGCTGCAACTGGTGCTGCAGGCCTCCAAAACGTACCCTTCGCCACACCGAAACACCATGGCCCTGAAGGACGAACTAGTCCGAGAAGCGCACCCAAAAAGTGTCTAACGTTGCTTCTGAAACCCTAGAAGCAGAACAGAAAATCGGCACTCAGACACGGCCAAACGGTGCTGCTGCTGCTGCTGCTGTTGCTGATGCTGCTACTGCTGCTGCTGCTGCTAGTGCTGCTAGTCCTGCTGCTGCAACTCGTGCTGCAGGCCTCCAAAACGTACCCTTCGCCACACCGAAACACCATGGCCCTGAAGGACGAACTAGTCCGAGAAGCGCACCCAAAAAGTGTCTAACGTTGCGTCTGAAACTCTAGAAACAGAACAAAAAATCGGTGTTCAGACACGGCCAAACGATGCTGCTGCTGCTGTTGCTGGTGCTGCTAGTCCTGCTGCTGTAACTGGTACTGCAGGCCTCCAAAACGTACCCATCGCCACATCGAAACACCATGGCGCTGAAGGACGAACTAGTCCGAGAAGCGCACCCAAAAAATGTCCAACGTTGCTTCTGAAACCCTAGAAACAGAACAGAAAATCGGTGTTCAGACACGGCCAAACGAGGTCTTCGCCACACCGAAACACCATGGCCCTGAAGGACGAACTAGTCCGAGATGCGCACCCAAAAAATGTCTAACGTTGCGTCTGAAAGTCTAGAAACAGAACAGAAAATCGGTGTTCAGACACGGCCAAACGATGCTGCTGCTGTTGTTGCTGGTGCTGCTAGTCCTGTTGCTGCAACTGGTACTGCAAGCCTCCAAAACGTACCCTTCGCCACACCGAAACACCATGGCCCTGAAGGACGAACTAGTCCGAGAAGCGCACCCAAAAAATGTCTAACGTTGCGTCTGAAATTCTAGAAACAGAACAAAAAATCGGCGCTCAGATACGGCCAAACGGTGCTGCTGCTGCTATTGCTGCTGCTGCTGCTACTGCTGCTGCTGCTGGTGCTGCTAGTCCTGCTGCTGCAACTGGTGCTGCAAGCCTCCAAAACGTACCCTTCGCCACACCGAAACACCATGGCCCTGAAGGACGAATTAGTCCGAGAAGCGCACCCAAAAAAGTGTCTAACGTTGCTTCTGAAACCCTAGAAACAGAACAGAAAATCGGTACTCAGACACGGCCAAACGGTGCTGCTGCTGCTGCTACTGCTGCTGCTGCTGGTGCTGCTAGTCCTGCTGCTGCCACTGGTGCTGCAGGCCTCCAAAACGTACCCTTCGCCACACCAAAACACCATGGCCCTGAAGGACGAACTAGTCCGAGAAGCGCACCCAAAAAGTGTCTAACGTTGCGTCTGAAACCCTAGAAACAGAACAGAAAATCGGCACTCAGATACGGCCAAACGGTGCTGCTGCTGCTGCTATTGCTGCTGCTACTGCTGCTGCTGCTGGTGCTGCTAGTCCTGCTGCTGCAACTGGTGCTGCAGACCTCCAAAACGTACCCTTCGCCACACCGAAACACCATGGCCCTGAAGGACGAACTAGTCCGAGAAGCGCACCCAAAAAGTGTCTAACGTTGCGTCTGAAGCTCTAGAAACAGAACAGAAAATCGGTGCTCAGACACGGCCAAACGATGCTGCTGCTGCTGTTGCTGGTGCTGCTAGTCCTGCTGCTGCAACTGGTACTGCAGGCCTCCAAAACGTACCCATCGCCACATCGAAACACCATGGCGCTGAAGGACGAACTAGTCCGAGAAGCGCACCCAAAAAATGTCCAACGTTGCTTCTGAAACCCTAGAAAGAACAGAAAATCGGTGCTCAGACACGGCCAAACGAGCTCTTCGCCACACCGAAACACCATAGCCCTGAAGGACGAACTAGTCCGAGAAGCGCACCCAAAAAATGTCTAACGTTGCTTCTGAAACCCTAGAAACAAAATAGAAAATCGGCGCTCAGACACGGCCAAACGGTGCTGCTGCTGCTGCTACTGCTGCTGCTGCTGGTGCTGCTAGTCCTGCTGCTGCAACTGGTGCTGCAAGCCTCCAAAACGTACCCTTCGCCACACCGAAACACCATGGTCCTGAAGGACGAACTAGTCCGAGAAGCTGACCAAAAAAGTGTCTAACGTTGCTTCTGAAACCCTAGAAACAAAACAGAAAATCGGCGCTCAGATACGGCCAAACGGTGCTGCTGCTGCTATTGCTGCTGCTGCTGCTACTACTGCTGCTGCTGCTGCTGGTGCTGCTAGTCCTGCTGCTGCAACTGGTGCTGCAGGCCTCCAAAACGTACCCTTCGCCACACCGAAACACCATGGCCCTGAAGGACGAACTAGTCCGAGAAGCGCACCCAAAAAGTGTCTCACGTTGCTTCTGAAACCCTAGAAACAGAACAGAAAATCGGCACTCAGACACGGCCAAACGGTGCTGCTGCTGCTGCTGTTGCTGCTGCTGCTGCTAGTGCTGCAGGCTGCAGGCCTCTAAAACGGACCCTTTGCCACACCGAAACACCATGGCCCTGAAGTACGAACTAGTCCGAGAAGCGCACCCAAAAAATGTCTAACGTTGCTTCTGAAACCCTAGAAAGAAAATAGAAAATCGGCGCTCAGACACGGCCAAACGGTGCTGCTGCTGGTGCTGCTAGTCCTGCTGCTGCAACTGGTGCTGCAGGCCTCCAAAACGTACCCTTCGCCACACCGAAACACCATGGCCCTGAAGGACGAACTAGTCCGAGAAGTCCACCAAAAAAGGGTCTAACGTTGATTCTGAAACCCTAGAAACAAAACAGAAAATCGGCGCTCAGACGGCCAAACGGTGCTGCTGCTGCT